AGAGAGAGAGAGAGAGAGAGAGAGAGGGGGAAAGAGAGAAAGAGAGAGAGAGAGAGAGAGAGAGAGAGAGAGAGAGAGAGAGAGAGAGAGAGAGAGATGGTGGTGGTCATGCATTGCAGAGCATAGCCATCCGCATCGCAATACCTGCCAGGGGCAAAGTTTGTACGCGGGCCGTTAAAATTTTAATTCAATCTTTCGGTGCTGAAGATCAATCGTTTTCACTAATGCAGGTTGAGTGCGAGATATATACGGAGCTCAACTGCTATTATCTAACTTCTGTCTTACATGAATGCTATCAAGAGCACATATTATAAACCGTTTATAGCACAGTTCGTGCACCCTTGATGTTATATACATTTCAGATACATTTACACAAGTGAAGTCGTGTGGTAGCTATAGAGATTTTAGTGAGTACTGTAGCTGTAGAAGCTGTCAGTCTGCTAGTATAACAGGGGGATATATATAATATGGGATGTTTTGTCGTTCCTATACACAATCGTTTTTGGTCACTCCTGCCACCGCCTAGCTCTAGTACTATAGCCCGCGTACAGTTGCCGCAGGCCGCTGTTGCATAGGCATGCCGGGCTATAATAGTACTAGAGCTAGCCACCGCCTATATCGCAATTATTTCATCGAAACGTGATTGATGGTGCTGCTGCATGATAATTGGAGTCATAGCCTTTTTTAATTGCACGTGTAATTAGAAATAATTGTAACATGCGTAAATGCTCCGCAGCCGCCCGTACAGAGACTATTTAGGACGGTGCATGCAAGGCGTAGATGATTACGATGTGAATTTGATTAGTTTTTTCAAAACTAAACATATGCAATAAGATAATACCAATAATAACAGCGAGTAAAGTAATATCAGCAGAGTCATGATATAGATCGATATTAATCTATAATCTATATAATATAATCTATAATGTCACATAATCTATATTATGATGCTCCTGATAATATTAGTGTTATATTATTATATTTAATCTACCGTAAGCTAATGTGATATTATTTTATACTTGATAATAATCAAGAGCGAATAACACATTTTGTGCAATGTGCACAATGCATAAAATGTATTATTGGCTCTTCTAATGATGCTGTTTCTAGTGTGCATCATAAGGCAGGCGTTCACATGGAATAGAGATTACTGCAGTTAGTCGGCAAGGCGCATTTGCTTTGTCACACGGGCTTTCACGTATTGCACCTTGTTTGAACGTAAAAGCCCACGGCGATATCGTTATCCGTCGCTGCTGTACATCGGAGCGGTGCACGTATGTAGAGTACATGTACAGGCGCTGTTTGCGTTAGCCTGTCAAAACGAACAGGAAGAGAACCTG